CACAAAGGAAAAGGATGCGGAAAGGTGATGTTGCAAAGCGCGAAGACCAAAAGCGGCAAGTCGATGATTAGCATCACCAGAGGAAGAGGCAAGTTCAGAGAGAACACAAAGATAATGTTGAACCCTTGATGAGTTATTTGCCGCGATTGCCAAGGCACAAGGGTTAAGCAGTTGCTCTGCCCATCTCACTTCCTTGTTACCATCTTTGCAACTCTTCTCACTAGACTTGTTTGCATTTCTCTTGCTTCTTGCTGATCTTTTCACCTGTTGGGACTCGATAAGCCCATCACGGTTCCTTTTCTTGGACTGATCGTTCGATTGCTGAGCTTCGGGTGGAGGATCCAAATCAGTGACTGGAGCTCCTGTTACCACTTCCAGGTTAGTTGCTTCACAATCAATATATGCATTAAGATCTTCACTGTAGTTATGAAGAAAACCAAGTTCTGGATCTTGAGTCTGATCCCATTCCCACGTTTGAGACCCACCAAATTCTTGGAGCAAATAAGGATCATCGAATCCGGGTAAGGGGGTTAAGGACATAGAATCCTCAAGCCAGCCTAGGACATGATCTAGAGTTTGGTTTGGTGGTTCTGTTTCTTCTAACGACATCGATAACTTGATGTAAAAGGTATGTTTGTGAGTAGGAGATAGGTTAAAGTTTTAAGAGAAACAATAAGAGGAATAGGAAAATTTTGAATGGAGAATTTCTACGATGAGAGTCGAATGTATATTGAAATGGCGTGTGACCTAATATGTAGGTGTGTTTCCATGAGTATATTACCTAGTAACTACCTTATAGAAAATGGTTATAAGACTTGTGAATAATACCATTCATTTGAATATTACAATTTGATTTGCATTTCATAAGTCAAATAAGTGACTTCACTCATTGCACTTTGGGACCATTGTTGTAGGTTGTACTATACTATATATGTTACAAATCATAAATTATTTAATGTACTATTTAGGTATTTTTCTAGAAAATCCGAAAGGTATAAAGTATCAATAATCTGTACTATGATTTTGTCATTAGTAATTATATTAACAAATTTTAGTAATTATAGAATCTGGTGTTATCTTCTATTTCTCGTCACGATAGTTTATTAATGATCTTATGGC